AAGTATTATGTTTAGGGAATTTTTTTTAGGAATATGCAATAAATGGGGATAGTTTGTGATGAGTAATGGGTAAAAATGTGGAATTATGATTTAATATATAATCTATAGTATAAATAATTTGATGAAAGATTTAATGAAATAAAGAATTCTAAAATTCTCAAATTTTTCAAATTTGATTCTTTGGAAAATGATGCTTTTAATGTAATTTCGTTTTATTTCGACTTATAGAATCAAGAGATATAGATATTATAATAGATATAATATATGCAAAATATATGCAATAATATTATATGCAGTAATTTATATAATTTTTCAGGCATTTTCAATAATCTGACAAAAAAATGTTTTGAACAAAAACTAATCAACTTTTGATTAACTATATATCTCAATATTAAAAAAAAAAAAAAATATTTTACAAACATATAAAATTAAAATGGCATCGAGATTATTTCAATAAAGTTAGGGAGTAAAGATAGGATCGATAATGATCATGGGTCGTTTTATGCTCACATTTCTCTTTCGAAAAACAATTCAGAAACGCGATAAGAGCCAATAGTACCGAGGGGAGTGAAGCGTATTTACCATTCCAGAAACCACCCTACGCATCCGTCTTCGACCGTTGCATGGGGGAGCACGTACGTTCTGTAACCCCCCGTAAGATTCGAATTAGAATGAAATACGATGACAACGAGCGAATCGTGTTTTGCTTAATAGAATTCGGTCTTCGATGGGGCAAAACCACCCTTATGTTTGAAATTCGTCTCTCGACAAAACAATGCATCTTGGCTTTCGAGGTGAAATTGTTTCAAAATTTAAGACATTTTTTTGTAAATGATATGACAAATATAATAAACTTGATAATATATATAATAAATATATATTACTCTATCTCTTTACTAACTTTATCGATAATATTTTACTTATTTTTAGAAATATTAAAAAATGTTTCAAATAAAAATTAAATGGATTCGACGTAAAGGCATAAAATAGTATAATTTTTTTTTAATCCATCTTGAAAATCAACTTGTATTTTTTTAAATATAATATACCATATATTTTTTAATACATAATGCATCATTTATAAAAATTACTAAACTATTTAGGAGATATTTAATTATTCTTAATTGTTAAATTATTAATTTTTTTTTTAAATGATCTAATACTTTTTTCTATAAGGAATGTTATATATCATTCGAATAAATACCTTCACTTTGAAAACTTAATGCAAAATAAATACAAAACGCGATGTGCATGTGAGTAGAACAAGAAGAATTGTTTAAATATGAATGTTGTTCTGTTTAAATATGAATGTTGTTTCAACGCGGTAAATCGATAAATCCACAATGAGCACCGCCGTGTGACGACCCTGAAGCACCCCCTTAGAATCACACTTGTTGCTCGGCACCCTTGATCCGTAAAGTCACCCCTTCTCGGCCGCCCTTTTACCGAACAGAAGGTCGAGTATTAAAAGAATTTACGAAGCAATCTCCGACCTCGTTCGTGTGTACTTTCAATGACGATTCTGCTACGAAAAGAATCGAACAGTCGCCATTCTATCGATTCAACCTTGTTCCAAGGAAAACGCAAATACGAATTAATCGGATCGGTTAATTGTCGATTACTTTGACTCTCTATAATGTAAATTTTATCCAAACAATTGTTATGTATATCTGAAAATAAAAATTTATGCATAATGTGAAAAATGAAAAAATTGTCATAAAAAAAAATAGAAAAATTGTAAAACTAATTTACGTATTAAACTAATAATTAACAATAATTTATAGGGTAATTTATTAATAATAATAAAATAAATATTAAATTTTCAAAAAACGAAATTAATATTTCTTAGATGAAAATTAAAAAATAAAATATTTCAATTATATTTGAAAAATTAAAAATTCTTAAGTATTACATTATAAAAATTTGTAAATAGTTTTCCTTTATAAAAGTCATGATATACATGTACGAATACGAGGAAAAAATACGAATAAACACGTGCTTCGTGTAATCTTGCTTTCAGGTTGTGTTCGTTCTCATGTTGTATAACATTCTTTTTGGCATACTGTTCTGATGAAATGAACACGGTTGCAAGTTTTTCATCCAACATTTCTGAGTGTACATATTTGAAAGCACGCACTGGTCCGTATTAAAACAGCAGGTAATAACTTTTCATTTTCGGCGTAGAAAATGGTCGAATGAAAGTAAGTTAAATAAAATATTCGGCAATTAAATAAAATTTTAAACAATTATTTTCTTTTTTTCATATCTTAATTTGCACCTCTACTCAAGTCTTTGAAAGTTTATTATACTCTTTCTGAAAATTAAAAAAAAATTGCATAAATATTAAGAGATAATAGTATTAACAATTTGACTTAAAATTAAAAAAAAAATACATTCAAGATTCATGAATTATATTAAATATTAAAATTTAATGAAAGATAAGAGATATCCTAAGAATTTTGAGTGGAAATTTAGGTATAATAAATTCCTTATTAAAATGTAATATAATATAGATTGATAAAATTTGTAGATTATATCATATTAATATCGTCTTCTTGCAAAATAATTTAATAATAATATTAGTAAATTGACAAGTTACAAATTGTAAATTATACATTTCTTTTTTTATACTTCAAATGGAATCTAGAATTTAAAATAGATAAATATCTCATTTGTTTTACCATCAAAATTATTTTAATATTAAAAGAATCTTTTTAATTTTATTTATAAATATCTTTTTAACTTACAATTTATTATTAAAATCTCACCAAATATCACGTTATTCAATAATTCTAAAATAGATTCTTCTCATGAAACAAATTAAACTGGAAAACTAAACATATCTTTCAACTTCATAATCCATGGTATAAAACAGTTTACAGTTACAGTAATCATCACCACCTATAATCAAATAAATTTCCCATGCTTAATAACCTCACCCAAGCGGAGACCGTTAAGACACACGAACATTCCCATGAGCTATTTCAAAGATTAATTTCACTTAGAAATAATAACATATAAAAAGAATACTCAACCATACTCAATCATCAACTTGGATCTACTATCTATCGAGAATCCTCTGAATCCGTAATTACGATTATGGAAATACTATTTGTTCTACTTCTGGATAACTGAACGTCCAGTAAAGTAAAATCGAGAAAAGTGTTGATGAAAGGACATTATAGTGCGTCCACGTTATTATGGGGAAATTTGTCGGTGGTATGCGCTTATATATCCCCATAAATCGGGTAGGTGGTGAACGAGGCGCACAGTCGTTCGCAATAAACTCGTGGTCTTTCGCAATAAGGGCGGCGACCGTCCCCAACAGAGCAGAGAAGTACTATCGAGGGTGAAGGGTCGTAATCTATTCCGCCACCTTATATTACCGAGAGTGGTATGTCCTCTCAGGGCTATCGAGTCCCTCTCGTTTCTCTTCATTCCCACTCACGTCACTAGTTTGATCAATCATAGCTTTTTTCCTCCTAGTTGTCCTTTTCTTTCTTTTGTTCTTTTTTTTTCCATTTTTTCTTCTGTATCTCGTATTTTGAAAATGTTGAAAATAGGTTATAGTGGGACTGATATGACAGTCCGTCATAAGTTGTCGTTACAGCGTTAAATGATTGGTTGAAATTTTTAAATGATCTTTGAGGTTATGCTGATGTTGTGATATATAGGGAATTTTATAATTTTGGGTTTTCTAAAGATTGAGAGAAAAATTAATACTATTTGTGAATGATAAAATGTGATAGGTTGAAAATTATAAATGTGATTGAATTTATTATATCTTTCTAGTAAAGTTTAATTTAAAAATTTTCTAGTAAAGTTTAATTTAAATATTTTTGAGATTAGAAAAAGAAATTGTTAATTTCAAGATACGATAATTGAAATATCATAATATTGAGATTTTAGAAACTTAAAATTAATTTGAATTAAAGAAATTTAAAAAATCTTATAACAGATAATCTCAATCTTTCTGGCAATTTTTATTTTTATTTTTTTTATTATTCGTGATATTGTTATGCAAAAACAGTTTAAATATTCTGGTATGCAACAAATAAGATGAACTTCATATTCCACGTAGACGTTTTATCTTTTGCTTTTCCAACGCTCTAAACTAGCTACAAGGGGTCGAGGAACAGAAATGAAACTCAACGCTTTCTGTGGAATCGTCGACACCAACGGAATCAGCATTCTTCTTCTCCAGTACTCGTATCTTCGAATAGTATGCGGTTATTCAGACTCCAAAGAAGAAGACGTGATTCAAACGTCCTCTTATCGCATCTGCAGACTGTTTAAGGCTATTGTTCTTCATAATTTACAACTTCCGTGGATTTCTCGCGCGCGCGAAAGCTACGTTTACAACTTTTATCCGATTTCACGCCGGTCTCTATCGAGTAGTAATTCTTTTATTTATTTATTGGACAATGTGGACAGACGAGATCTGAAAAAATATTTCAAATATCGACTACTTATACTAGATTTAATATTACAATCGAAATTCTTTCTGACTTTTATAGTTTATTTCCATTCAGTTTTTTAAAAAAGTTTTTATGATATTTTTTATATATAATATTTTTAGATAATATTTTTAGACAAGTTAAATTAGTTTTTGTCCATTTTTTTATTTGTATATATTTTATAGATATCGTATTATTCCTATATTTTTAGATTAGCACAGTGTAATTTGTCATCTAGATATTACCTTAAATTAGTTTAATAAATTTGTTAGATTCACGTTTTTATGAATTAGGAAAATACATTAATATTTTAAAATATAATTTAATCTAAAATTTTAGAAATTTGGATTAATCGTATCTTTTAACTAGTAAGCTACTAGAAAATTTTATTTAATTATTTAATATTCTAAATTAACAAAACGAATAGATTTGATAAAATAATTTTTTAAAATAATGTTATACTTACTAATGATTATTCATTCTCCACTACACAATCATAATATTAAAATCAAATCTTATCTAAGAATCTCAATTAAAAACAATCCAGAAATTTTCACAAAATCAAATTTACATTTTCTGACATTTTACTGTCTTCTATCTATCCGTACTAATTAAGGTGTGAAAAATATCCTAGATCCAGATGACTCCCCTCGTATCCACCCACACACCTCTTCCAATGGCTCTGTTCTCTATGGTCGCCGTTTTCGCAGCGAGCGTCGAAGGAATTTTCAAATATTTCCGGGCAGACGCCCGATAAATTCTCGGAGCCGGGAAATATTTCCGATAGCCAACCGACAATCTGCTCACCTTGCGGACCTCCTACGCGAGGACAGCTCTCTCGACGAAGGATGAAACTCCTCAGACTCCTCGGTTAGATTTAAATTTCACCGTGAATGAGATAAACCGCGATACATCCTTGGCTTTTCTTGTCTGGAGTTTTTCAATCTCATGGAATATAAAAAAAAAAAAAAAAGAATAAGAAGAAAAGAAATAAAATGGGAGGAAAAAAATAAAAAATACATAATTAATACAATTGCTTAATTATAGTCAGAATTAGTACAAACCTATTTTCTTTCATTCTTATTAAAATTCTTATTAATGATGTTAAACTGTAATGTGGCACCATCTCTATGTTCTATGTTTTACTATTATGTTTATTTTTCCCATTCATAACTATATTGCCATCTTTTGTAAAATGCGTTATCGTATATATATTTTTGAAATTATTGTTATTTACCATTTTGTCATATTAATATTATTGTGATGATACTATGATAATAATTACTACAAATAAAAACAGTCACTTATTACAGTTTTGTATATATGCTTATATACATAATTAATTAATTGTATAATTAAATAATTATTGATATTGATATTTATTATAACTTTTTGACAAAATGTTTTTTTTTGTTGAATAAAGAGAAAAATTTAATCAATTGATAATTTCTTTTATAATTTTTATTTTTTTTTCTAACGAATCTATTAAAAAAGTTTGTATTTAAACAAATATAATACAATATTTAAATAATTTTTTACTTACAAATTCAAAATGATATATGTTTAATATATATGATGATGTATGTTCAAACTCTGCAAGATCTACTAAGTCAAAAAATTAAACTTGATCTTTTGATCTAGAATTTTAGCTTTTCATTTGAAGAAACTCTTATCCAGGCTTCTTCCGACTGTTTATCGTTTCTTTTTTCCCATTGGGACACAAGGTGTTAATCTTTGAATAAGAGATAGTTTTTCTGATGTTCAAGTAGAGGAAGACGTGTCTGGTCAGACACTTTAGCAGAATCTTCCTTTACGTTGAATTAAGAGTGGTCTTTAAGCCGATTTTATTTTGCTTTCTTCCAGATGGATATATCCGTTCTATTTTTGCTTTTCTTCCTTCAAAGAAAAAATCTGGTGCTATTAAATCGGAACGAACGAAGCTGCCAATTTATCCAGCCTGTAATTTTCTGGTGATTAATTTTGATTATAAATTTTTATAACGAAAATCCCAAACAAATCTTTTAGGAACATACAATATATATTTTATTAAACTAAGAATATTTATTATTTTATTAAACTATTATTATTTTATTAAACTTAGAATATTATATTGAAAAAAATACTAGTCTTTATGAAAATAATAATACTTCCTTCTTCATAAGATTTTTCAATTAATATAACTTAAAAAAAAATGTAAATTCAAAGATATATCAAACACGCATTTTCCACTTGATACATGTTTTTTTAATTTTATTTTCTGACATTTATTTCCTTTTTCTCGCTCGTCCAATGCCAGAGAATCCCTCTTGGCAACTTTACAAACGTCAGCCAAGTGGTTCCAATTGGGTGGATCAGCCTATACAAATGCGCGCTTACAAGAAGATCGAAATCCGCCTCGTTTTATGAAGTGGAAGATAAAATCTCTCGGTCAACTTCCATTGCACGATATATACCGTTATATGAGATACGATAGGCTTCTACACATATTTATCGTAGTGGCAATAATTCAACTGATTTTGCGTTTCAATCTGATTGTTGGTTTCTTTTGGGAATTAAATCTGGCATAATTCAAGATACATGTTAAATTTCATGAATATACTGCAAATTTTGCGGGAATATGACGATAATGAATATATAATTGATATTTGATAGATAGATGATGCTGGAACGAATCATTTGTATATTAGATTTTGTTTTTAATTGAAATTTTCGTGTATAATGAATATACACGTGTATAGTTCTTTTACTTTTCCTTTTTTATTTTATAATAATGAGTTATATTACAAGTATATAATGCCATTTGATAATATAGCATGAATCAATTTGTAGGTTAGGTTTCATTTTATGAAAGTTTCACCGTCCAGTATGTATTTCTTTATCTTCTTTTCTTACATTATGATATGAGTTATATTATAAGTATATTGCTATTTGATATGATAGATGGCATGAATCAATTTGGAGATTAGGTTTCATTGTACAGTGCATGTTTTTTCATCTTCTTTTCTTACATTATGATACGAATCATATTATAAGTATATATTATTTCACACGATAGATGGCATTGAATCGAATTAATTTATAGGTTAGCTTTTTTATTTGAAAGTTTTAGTACATATATTTCTTTTTTTTTTATATTATTTTTTTTATATTATACAATTTAAATTATACAATATAAATTTAGAACAATAAATAATCATACCAACTAAAAATTAGAATTAATTATAAAACATTTTATCAACGAATGAAAATATTGAAACGATTCGAACGATATAACTCACCCAATTCCTTTTTCATGGAAAACTTCACGAAACATGACGAGTAAAACCATAAATATCCAAACAAACTAATTGCAAGGGTCCTCAAATCATCAAACCGGCGTTTCACGAACAGAACTTAATGATTTCTCGGTAACGAGAGGGAATTATTCTCGAGCTCCGACGTTTCCAAGACGCACACAACACTTACCACGTACGATTTCATCGGATACATACGCGGCCCGCTCCAGAAATTCATCGGCGCGGATCCGCTTCGAGCTCGTGATTCACGGGTGAGGCAACTTCACGCACGTGTTCCTGGCACACACGTCTCTTTCGTTGGATGATGGCCAAGTTCCGAAACAGCGTGGCCCCGGCGTCTTTAACGGCGCTTCGCCTTAATTATCGGGCTTGATGCGATGTGGCTAATTTACGAGGCTTTGCTTATCCCCTGTGCTCGTGAAAACTACCAAAGGTTCATTGTCGTTCCCATGATAGTCGTCTCCATGTAAATCCACGATTTTGTTTGACTCTTAACTATACAGCCTTCATTTAACTTATCGACAACAACCTCTATATTATAAATTTGATAGATTTTTACGATCTAATTTATTTTGAAATTTGTTATTGTTTAGAGCTTCCTGTGAATTTTTTAAGAATTCTATTTTAAGGTTAAGATATTATACGGTTAGCTTTTTCAGAGATCATTTATCATTTTACATAAGAATATATTTAATAACGATAAAATAGGCATTACTAGATGACAGAGTTGAGTTATATTTTTCAATTAAGCATTTAATAACAAACTATATCATAAATTCTTACAGAAACAAGTTTAAATATACAAAATTAATCATTTCAATTAAACTCAAATCATCATGATCATACCATCTTGTTATGTCAAAAATTTCTTCATTTATTTTTCCAATTTTCAAATAGCCTATATATATATATATATATGAAGAAATATTATATATTTCTCTTTTTCTCTTTCTTCTTCTTTTTACTTACTCATCAATTTTCATCAACAATCCATCCCTTCGTTTATACAACCTTATTTCTACACGTTCCACCTACCCTCGTATTTTCTCCTCCCTTCTATTTCCCGCTCCCACATCCGGTTTCACTCCACCCATATCCAAGCGATTCCAATGTACGAGCCACATCAGAACCAGTGGAGAGACCATTTTCATCCGCGTGTGTTGTTCCATCCCTTTCCTCCCCTTCCTGGCCTACACCACCCTCTCGTTGCACACTCGACAATCGAACGCATACACCTGCGCTCGCGTGCAGTTACATTTTTGCGGTTGACGCAACCATTCTGTTCATCGGCCGCGTAAATATGCGCGTGATTACTTTTAATTCCCTCTATTTGTCGGGGTTGCGTGAGCCGTTTCCCCTCTCATAGACTCATTCTCTCGTTTTTATAATTTTCGCGTGTTTCTGCTTCGATTGCTTGATTATTAGATGTTTAATAGGGAGAGTTCATAAGGCGATCTCTGTTTATTTATTTTATACGTGTAACGCGATGTCGAGATCAAAAGGATAATGTTTGTTGATTGGAACTTGTTATTGAATTTTAATGGACGATTTTATGTATCAAGATTTTCTCTGTTTGTACTAAGTAATTCTCCTTTGATAATGTAAAGGAAAAATAAAGTTTTTAAATCGGAAAGAAAAAGCAATAAAGAAAATATCAAAAAAATTAAATGAAGGAAAATATAAAATTAAAACTGAAATATAAAAGGAGCCGGAAAGAAAAGATAGATACATGCAGAGAAAGAAAAAGAAAAAGATAGTTTCTTAGAAAAGAAAATGAAAAGGATTGGAAAAAAAAGAGGGAAAGAAAATTAAGAAAGATAAAAAGTGCGAGAGAGAGGGAGAGAGAGAGGAGTAAAAATAGAGAGAGGGAAATGGTATGAGGGAAATGCGCAGGTAGCTTTGCAGTTGAAATTTTCCGATCCGCACGTGCAACGCGCATGCCGGGGATGCAATTCGCAACGTTAACAGTTATTTCGGCGGAAATCCGTTTTTGGGGCTGGGACGAGATCGTCGAATGGAATTTTACACTGTATATAGCTTATTGCACGCCCGCGCAACTTTCAGCTGCGGGCTAATTGCGTGCGTCCATTTTCTTCCCTCTACAACTTTCATCTGTTTACTTCGTTAACATGAACTTTGCAAAATCACAGATTTTTTTTTTCCAATGATGAATATATTTCTTTTAATTGGATAAAATGATATATATTCATTACAATATTTTTTTCTTCTTTTTTTAAAAGATACATTAAAATTTCAATCACAAAGTATCCAAACTCATACAATTCCATAGTATCTGATATTATTTATTCTCTATTCAAAAAATCATTGTTTTTCTATTCAAAGAATTTCTCGAGATATATATTCAATAATTCAATTGTAATAAAAGTCTAAAAACTCAATCAAAAAATACTCTAAACAATTTATCATTATCACAAAATTATATTTTATACGAATGCAGAATATTATCATCATTTTCTTAAAACATCTACACGTCCAATTATTCAAATATCTCCAAACGTAACAATCGTATATGCATGTCTATTGCATGTTTATAAATTTATTTTTCAACAACTTATTATCAATCAAAAATCTACATTTTTTATGCAAGAAATCATCCCTTGAAGCATTCATATTCAACTATTTAAATATTTCTAAACGCAGTAATTATATTAATTATTCATATCTATTTATTTCATTTCTAATATTTATTAAAACATTTTTAAATGAAACATATTGAAATTTGCCTTTATTAAAAGTATTTTCACAACTTACCATCATTAAAATACTATATTCTACATGCAACAAATCATTGTTCATTTCTTAAAAAATCCACATCCAATTTTTTCTCCATATTTCTAAAACAATTATATATTTAATTATGTAACTCTATTCAAACATTTCTATTATAATATCTATTATAAAACATTTTCAATATCTAAATTTCTTTTCCATTAAAAAACAACTTACCACCGATCAAAAAAACTTCAGACTGCAACAGATCATTTCTCAAAACATTCATATACTGTCTCGCTAATCATCCACCGAACTCATTCTCCCAAACTTGAACCAACCCCTCCCAATACAATTTTAATTCATCGACGAAAATACTGTCGACGGACTAACGCACGACCGGATCATTATTAAACTATAATTAGCGGTGGTATCGGTAGAGTGGAAGCGGTTCGTTGTATACATCCAAACTGCGAGTAACAACGGCGAAAGTTAGGGTGATGAACGAGAGATACTCGTGGTGTGGGTGTTGAGAGAAGAGGGGCGTGCGTTTCAGTCGATTCGTTTGCTCGTGTCATTTACCGCGGTCACGAGCGCTTCCGCCTATTCCGCAACAGCTTCTGGGATAGTAACACGCGAGCAGGTAACGTGTAACACACGCGTGTGCACGCACGCGTCCGCTCGCGTGTGCCTTGGCGAGGCCGCAGGTTGTTTCGAGATTACATATCATTATTCCGCATGGTTGCTCCAGGCTCCAACCCCGAGCTACGTTCGCAACTAGATTACCAACGTTTGTAATGCGCCCCCCTTTCTCTGTCTTTTCTCTGCTCAGTCATTTCTGCATCTCTCCATCCTTCGATTTTCTCGAATCTCGCTTTCGCTTCTAATTATTCGGTGCGCATGGCATGGATACCCTCGATGCTTTCGGTTTAGTGGATTACAAACGTTGTGCCTCTGAAATTAATTTTGGATGATTGTTTATTAAAGAAGATTAAGAAAATTTTGCTGGAATAATGGCAGAGAAGAAAAATTCCTACAATCGAAGAAATTTATTCCAATGATTATCTAAATGATTCAAATTTTCAACAGATCAATTTGGATATATGTGTAGTATAGTATATGTTCTCTCAAGAGTGATTTTTTTTTCACCTTTTGGATTTATATTTTACTGTATTATATTTTTGGAGCACGTTATCCGAATGATGAAGAATTACTGCCACTTCCCTACAAAAAAAAACATTTTCTCTGAAATATCATTTCAAAAGTATTAAATTCAAATTACTTATATTTTTTAAATTCCAACTTATTTATATATTTCAATAAATTCTTATTATTATATTATAATCTAAGACAATCAATATTTTTTTATTAAAACAAATTTAATAGAAATTTTCACAAATTTAAAAATTATACTTCTACCTTCATAATAAGTCTATAATATTTATCAAGTTCATCTTCATCAAATATCAACCATTCTAAAAAATTTCAAAAATCATAAATGGAAACATTTTTTCTCAAAATTCAAAAAATATTCTATTTGGAATGGATCATTTATATTTCTATAAATAGAAAATTTGTTGTTAATCTTCAAAATTACTTAAAACTTTCAAAATTATTTTTGCATCCATCCATATCTTTTTATTGTTAATCCAAGACAATCAATATAAAGACAATATTCTTTATCAAAAGAAATTTCATATTTTCTTTTTTATGAATACTTACCAAGATTATTTGTTTCATTTCCATCAAACAAATTTTCTAAATTCTAAAAATTATTTACTTCAAGTGGAAATATTTTCTATAGGCATCATCTTTCAAAACATTCATCATCAAAATAGCAAATTCGTCTCCAAAGTCAAAATTACGAATTTTAATTTCAAATTCACCTGTATCTTCTTATTATTAATCTAAAACAAGCAAGCAATATTCTTTATAAAAAAAGATTGTCTATTATTTTTCCTATGATACTTACTCCAAGATTCATCTCTATCAAACAAACTCTCCATTTCAACAAATGTTAAAAATCATTTATTACAAATGGAAAATATTTTCTCTTAGACATCATTTTCCCAGATTCATCAAAATGACAAATTCATTAACCCAAAATCAAAGTTATTTTCGAATCTCTATTCTTATTATTAGTCTAAAACAAACAATATTCTTTATCAAAAAAAATTTTCTACTATCTTTCTTGATACTTACCAAAATTCATCTCTGTCAAACAAATTTTCCATTGCAACAAATCTAAAAAATCATTTACACACAAATACAAACACTTTCTCCTAGACATCATTTTCCAAACCATTCACCATAAGAATGAGAAACTCGTCGCATCGAGAGAGTCCATCCAGGTTTGTACCGTATGGCGGAAGTAAAAGCGGGGCGAACAATGTTACCGGTTCGGGGGCGACGTGCCTTTGGCATTGGAGGTCGAAGTCGCCACTATTAGATTGAGGTTCGGCGGTGGGCACGGCCGCCGCCGTCGCATCGGTTTACAATATCGTAAATCGCTTGCTAACCAGTTGGCCCCGCGGTATGCTAGGAATTCGGCTGCTGCTCCTCCACCTCCTTCTCCTATATCCATCTCTCTTTCTCCCGTCCATCTCTTCCTCGCGAATCCTTGTTCTATGATGCCCCAAACCATTCTAGCCAACCCATCCTATCCAGCCTCTATATACGTATGATCGAATAGGAGAAGATAGAACCGCGAAGGGGGTGGTGAGAACAGGAAGGACTCGAATACTCTTCGACTAACGGATGCAACAACGGTTGTCATGCATCGTTTACAAGCCGAGCATCGTCCGTTGTTGCGGCGAAACGGGCAAATTCACTCGCCGCCCTGTATGTTATGCACCCTTGAATGGACCACCAGATATTCGTACCCGACTGGATGCTTCCACTGGATCTTCGCTTGGACGACGGCCTTCTAATCCTCCTCCTTCTAATTTGCTTCTCCTCTATGTCGTAACGGGCCACGCCGGCTGAATATCAGTCGCGAGACATGCCGTGGAAAATTAACATAATTCCATGATTCTCGCCTAACGGTTGTTAGGATTTCTGTTATAGATCTCAGCGTTTTGCGGTGCTGGATTCAATTTGGTGAAATGGTATCTGGGGTAGTATTAACAGGATAGTTTCAGAAGTTATCGTATTCGGATGTTGATATGAGATTGAAATGACGAAGTGATAACGTTTTCCTTGGCTAAAAAAGAAAAAAAGAAATATTACAATGATCGATCGAAACTTGTCAAATTTTCATTATTTAATTATAATTATTATCAATCGTTAAATAGACTAGATGAAAAATGAGATAATGAACTATAAAGGTGTATCTTTTTGTGTCTTCTTGTCATTGAAAAAAAAACTTTCATAACCTATAAATCAGTAGATCATTAGTGTTCGGAATTGGGCTGCAACATGAATTAGTTAAAATTTCGAATAAAATTACAATATCTTATTCATTCGCCGCTTTAAATAATAAAATATTCGACTAAATTATAAAAATAACTTTATTCTTACCTTTAATTACGTTAAAATTTTATCCATTTCTATTCTTTCATATCGTCTTCATTACTATCAAACGATCATACTATCGATCTTGTCAACGATTATAAGATTATCGATTTCTTTTCTCATATCGTTCCATCTGAAAAAAAGGAAAAAAATGCGGAAAAAGGAGGAAAAAAATAGAAAAAATAAAAAAAAAGAACGGTAATTGATCGGTCCGGCAATCAAACCGTTCCATCAAAGTGCCTTTTATCGCGGCGCTTTGTCACGGGCGTCGTTCCCCATTGGCGCGGAACGAACCAAAACGAGCGTAACGCCCCGAGCCTCGAGTGTCGGCCGCTTTGTGTGCGCGCGTGGAGCGGGAGATTCGAATGCCTGGCAGCGTGCGCGGTACCCTCTCGGCTCCCGTTTTCTCTTTGTTTGCCCTCGACGCAACGCGCCGCTTCTCTCTGTGTTCAACAACCGTCTCTCGCTTCTGTTCGCGACAATAACGTCGTTTAGCCTTATTTGTACGGAAGAGTAGAAACATCGATCGCGTGTAATTGACACTGTTGGTTTTCAAACAAGTTTGTCGTTCATTTCAATGTGCGTATGTCGAATTTAATTTGCGTTTTTGTTTTTTTCGTTTATTTCACTTCTCTCTGTTTTGCGAGATTTTGAATTGTATTTTCAGATGAAATTGATGAATTGATAGAAACAAATTCACAACAACAAGATACTATCTTGCTCTAAGAAATAAAAATTTTTATTTTTGTTTATGTATATTGGAAAATTTATTTTTTTTCAGTTCTACTTTTTAAACTATATATGTCAGATTAGTTTTTTTTCTTTTTTTCTGTAATTATAATTTTTAATAAAAGAAATATAAATTTATTCAAAATATAAATATAAATTTATTTGATAAAGTTAAAAATTAGTAATTGTCAAAATTAACCAGAAATTATGGAAAAGTTTTTGTTTATTCTATTGTAAATTATTTATATATAATTATTATTTGTCATGTATATGATTATTAATAACATTGGATATTAATGTTATTTTATTTAATTAATACCTCTATGATGCAAACAATATCTATGTCAAATCTTTTCAATTATTTATTAAAATTTATTAAAATTTATTAATATATTTCCACTCAATTTTATTATAGATTCATTTTTTGAATAATGACGAGGATAACAACATAATGCAATAATATATCGAGATCATATTTTAATTATAAAAATTCATAGAAATTAATTAATTTTTTATTAAAAAAATTTTTCATTTATTTTTTAAATTTTATAAAAAAATTTCTACTTTATAATTATATAATAATGAAAATTCAAGTTTATTCAAATAGAAAGATCTTTATTAATAATCTGTAGAATTCTTATCAACTTTTATTGATCTCCAATTTTATATCTACAATTCTATAAAATTCTTATTCAATAGTTCATTGCAGTTTTGGAATAGTTGTAATATAACCACAACTCTTTATGGAAGTTGCCAAGAAACTTTTTCTAAAAGAGTTTATTGAAATTTTCCAAGAATTTATTGAAACATTTCCAAATAACTTCTGTTAGAATTACAATTCTCTTTTCAATTCACTTTGATTCTCTATTGAAATATTTCTATCTATAATTTTTAAGATTTTTTAGTAACATTTTTATTAATTTTATCAATCAAGCAATAACCAATAATCAAGTTAACCATATTTGAAGTTCTATACATTTTTACCTTTTAAGTAAAATTAAAAAGTAAAATTAAATATAAATCTCTTAAAAAAAAAAACAACACAAATATGATAAAATTTTAGATTTTTTTTATATTTTAAAACATTTTATAAAATATTTTAACTTAAAAACGCAATAACAATCATAATGATAATGTTTAAAAACATTCTTCGCCAAAATATAGCTATTTCTATCTCACTTTTATATCGTCCACGATATTATTCATTTATTTTTTATTTTTAGCAAAATCAAACTTTCATTCTTCTCTAAAGCAATGAGTTTCGATAGATACACATATACAGTCATACCAAACGATCAAGAGACGCACGAAATGAACGAAAAACGCAGGGGGTGAGCACCAACATCACACCAAAGTAACGAACACCACCATTACAGTTCTCAAAGCGACGAGAGAGCACGCCATAATTACTGCCTTTGTTTCGAACAATTTATATTAAAATGGAAAGCAATCTGCATTTGCAAATTAAATGCGCGCCCCGTTTCCCGTCCAAACGTTCCGCTTCCAGGCTAGAAAGACACAGATAGATGATGAACACGATGAGCAGAGAAAGATAGAGAGAGAAAGAGAGAGAGCGTAGGAGGTGGATTATCGTGATGAAGAGGCAAGCAAACGACCAGCTTGGTTACCTGCGGCTTGGATCGTGTAAAATCAAACGGATACCTGTGTCGTGTTAATTGTGCGCTGGTAATCCATTGCCATTCATTCCGCCTTGTACAGTGTGTATAGTGATGATAGAAGATTGGCACTGGGCTTTCCAAGAGAATAGAAAATTATGGATTTTATAAGATTTAATAATTTGTACAATGTATTAATTAGGTTTAAATTGATTTTATTGAAAAATTGCTTATCTGTTAAGTGATAATTTCATTCAATTCTATAGTTTTGTTATTTGTTCGACTTTATTTTGTTTTAGGTTAATTTTGTGATAGTTTGATTAAGAGAAAATTTCTGAAGTACATAACGGTTTAGGTTATAAATTGTTCAAGATGTAAAGACAAATAAGATATGTATTTATATAAACTTTTTTCATTGTTTTTTGGTACACAATCAACTAATGAAATAAATCCTATAAATTATAAGACATTTTATATAACTATATATGATATTTAATAAAAATATTAAATATATATATATATATATATAAATTATACTTAGGTTATGATTTATAGGTTATGTCAGTTGAAAGTCATAACGTCATTCACAATGAAAGATAAATTATTTGCGAAACTTCCTCTTTATCCAAGATATTTCCAAATGAAAAAAAGAGAAGAAGAAATAAATAATGATAAAAAAATCATTTCCAACCAACCGATAATTATCAACCAGATCCAACCGTTCACATTGTCCGATATTCACAACCTCTCCAGATGTTTTTACATCAACTTTAGAGAAAATTACAGCCGCGATGCAGCGAGGTTATGTGCATGTTTCGAGGGATCGAAAGGTCGCAAGTATGGCACAAGAGGGCGAATGTATCGTTGGTTCGTTCAAGTCGACCAATTAGCACCGCTGATCAAGAAGGCTAATGGAGGTCGTGTTCAAGCCGCGGAACGCTTCTCAACTTCTACGCTGGTAGCGCATTTAGAGATGTTTGAATTATACCGATGCGCGACGAATCTTCGTATACATTATAGCATGAGATAATTCTCCCGTGATCATGAGGCCTTTCAATTAATCGAACGATATGCTAGCGACACGATTTTTTGGTTAAGTGATTTGTGTATGTTTAATATTACATGAGATGTGATAAAAAATTGAGTTACATAGTTCGTAAAAATTTAATCAGTGAAGTTTAAAAATTGTTTTCATATTTTTCAAAGTATACACGGTATATTTGAAAAGTAATGATGTTATATATTGAATCACAATATCTAAATATAAATTTTTTTGTGAAAAATATTGTTAAAATAAATTTTATATAGCATAAAAAACTTCGTTATTACACAACATAATTACAATGATATCTTATATCAATTTCAAATAAAACTTGACAATTTTACAAAAGATACGATGATTGTAAAGACCATCACGTGCATTACGTGCTTTCATCGAATTATAATTTTAGAAGGCGCTATTCCTCTTAAAGGTCTCCTTCATTCGAACCGTAAAGAAAGATAACGAGCCGTAAGAACGTTTTCCATGAAATGTTATCCGTGTAGCCAGATTTGCACGCGTGCACGCGGCTTCCTCGATGCCCAGGGCATCGTTCTCGATGTCTCGATGATGCCCCAGGCACGGTTCACCCTCGAGATTCCTTTCCGCGTAGAGAAGAGCGTTCCACGGGACCTGGCATTCTTTCGTGGATACTCAGCTTTATACCCGGAAGCCGTTCGTCGTGGATTTTTTTCTTTTTTCTTTCTTTTCTTTCTCTTTTTTTTTTTCGTTGAGTAAGAAAGGACGTGCTGACAGAACAAAAGAAAGCGTTGGCATACGATTTTGTTGCCGTGCCTTAGGAAATATATGAAGAAATAAACGTTTATCAAAAGGTTATAATGTTGGATCAATTTCTAATGACTGATATTTGATAGATGATATATCGTTTTATTTGCTGCAATTTTAGATTTTTAGTTTATGATTTTTTTATCATCCATTTTATCCAAGACATTTTTTTTTTCGAATAAATAATTTATATTGAATCGATATTTCATCGTTAGCTTGAATTGTAAATATAGGTTATATTTAATTTTAGCATAAACTTAAAAAAAAATTTACCTTGAATTTAATTTAAATCTAAACTTAACTGAAACTATAGCCCTATAGATTATATAAATCGAAACATTAATATTAGCGAAAAAAAAAAAAAGATAAATTTGAATATGATTTAAAGAAAAAAAAAACAACAATACATAGTTAAGTAAAAATAAATAATTATTATCTTTTCACGTAGTCAGTTTATTTAATCGTTAGCCACGTTTACAACCTCTCTCTTTATAATTCAACAAACCGAGATTTCCATTCTCCAAAAGCCACAAAAGACGACCACTTTATATGCACGAAAACAATAATGACAGTCTGGAAAGGATGCGGTATATTTTTAGCCAATTTTAATGACCCGTAACAGATTTCACAATCGTAAAAGAATATCAATGAGACGCGAGCCCTCGAACGAATAATAAAAATATTTTTTTCTATGTGAATCGTATAAGCCACGCCTGGAATGTTTTTCATAAAATTTCCAGGGTTCCGGTGAAAACATATTTTCAACATCAAGATATCGTATCGATGGAAGAGAAAAAAAAAAAAAAAAAAAAAAAAAAGAAAAAAATGGAAAACATAAAAAATATTCAAAATATGATGTTGGCCGAATGATTTTTTCGTGAAAGCGTTTCGTAAAACGCGCTTGAATTACAGATTCAATTAACACTTCGTTTACGATCTATTAAAACGACCGTTTTGCTTTTTATTTACGCACCATCGTACAAAATTTAGCAATTATTTATTTATTTATTTTTTTTTTTTTTAGAGTGAGTTATTTTATCTGAAAGTTTAATTTAGTTCACTATTGCGATAGATATCGAATCGTTCATTTCGAAAAATATTTTTAATTGAATATTTAAATTACTTAAATGTTTTGAATCGAATAAAAAAAATTTAGGAAATTATAGTTTATTAGGAAATTATATTCTTTGTTTTTGTTCAATAATTGATTGCAAATTTTTTGTAAAATTTTTCGAGAAAATTTTTAATTGAATATTTAGGAAATTAAATGATTAAAATCGAGTAAAATCGAGAAGTATATTTATGTAAAATTTATTTTAAATTTATAGCAAAATTTTTTACCAAATATTTTTTACCAAATATTTTTAATTCCTAAATAATAAAATTCCAGTAAAAAAAAATTTACAAAAATATATTTCATTTTCAAAAATTTTTTTAAAATATTTTTTTTTTATTTATCTATATAATTCATTTACAATTTCATTGAAATCTCTGTTATTAAAATTTCTAAATATTCAAATACACGATAGCTTTTAGAGGCCGAGACGAATTTTTGAAAATACGAAATGTGTACGTTAGTCTATTTTTAAATTTTGAAATACGCACCGGCCTTCCTCTTGTCATTCGATTTACGAGCTTGAAAATCGCTTTGATTTTCAAAGACAACTTAATATTTTTCGGCGATTCGAGGAAACGAATCGATTTTAAAAATCGTGACGAATCGAGTTCTCGATTTACGTAACCGGGATTAATCCTGAAGATGCTAATAATGGATCGAGTTGTTACATTTAGGCTTAGAATTTAGTGATTTATTTGGCAATTTTGGTACGTGACTTCAAGAAAAATACATATGTTTTATAAATATCACATGAAGGAAGAAATGATTTAATAGAATGAAAAATTTCTGTTTTTATATTATTATATTATAGCAACGTTATAATATTTCAATTACTAGTAACAATATTATATTTTGTAAATTTATTATTTGTAAATATAATTTAAGATTTAAAAAATATCTTTTGATAAAAAAATAATTTTGTAAAAATCGCATTAAAATAATACTGAAGATAACAAATAAATATATTTCCAAATGAACTATTCGGTCAAAAAATCCAGGAATCAAAAACAAATTATTTTAGCTCTATATTTGATCCAATGTAATCCAAACCAAGCAGTGTAGTCTAATTCAAATTTAATTCAGATAAAATAAATGTATATTTATAAATTGAAAAACTAAAAAAAAAAAAAAAGAAAAAATAAAATCGTTTCAATTATGAGCTTCCGAAATCAATCCAATCTAACTTAATCTAATTAAAAATGAACAAAAATTCACGTTCGTAGTATATATACATTAGAATTTTTCTCAATTCAATACTCTATTCTGAAAAAAAAAAAACATTTCTAATATCACTATAAATTCAATTGATACTTCTATTCTATCAATTTTAATTCAATATTCTTAATTAATTATAAATTGTATATTGTTGTTGCTTTAATAATATTAAAAATTCAAGAATTTATCAAAATAGGTATAGGTTAAATGAAAATATTGTGAAAGGGAATGATGTAAAGTAGATTTTATCCAAGGTTTCACTCGAAATTCAATTGTTTATTGATGAATAAACATAGCGGGAAAGTGGAAACTATTATATGTACTTATATTCATAAAAAAATTCTAACTACACGAGTAGATATCTAACATTAACTTACCTTCTAAAAAATAATAAATTAAGGGGTTAACGATGCGGTTCGATGTAATCGCGTTACATAACCTCGCTTAATGGAAAAACGTGCACGTTTATATTCACTCGTTTGCTTGTTTCTCGTCTCACGCTTTCCGAAGATGCTCGCGAGCGTAACCACGAGTTGTCCGTTCGTAAGCGAGCGGATTGTAACAAGTCGATTTCACTATAGTACCACGTGAAAGTCAGGACATCCGGTCCTTCGTAGCGAACGCAAAGAAAAACATGCTTTGCGTGCGCCATCTGTTATTATTGTTATTATAATTGCATTACGCCATGTTAAGCCGAGTACGTGTAATAATTCATTGCATTTGTGGTATTCTTCGATGTCATGAACGTTGCACTTGCGGTACCCAATGATATTTGAAGAATTATTTTGTTACTAGAAATTATTTATGACATTAGGTATTTGAAAGAATATATGAAAAAGTTTATTCAATACATACACATATATTATTATACAAACATTATTAAGTTATATAAGTAATAGCTGGAACATTTAGTTTTTTTAAAACAATTTATTTAAAACAAAATAATTGTGAATTTAATAAAACAAATATTAATTTAAATATATTATTATTACTATATTTATATAAAATATAGTGTATAAAATATATGAACTTCAATATCTTACTATATCAATCATTTTACTGTGGATTTTAAAACATTCAATAGATAAATAAAATATATTTTTGATTAATTATTTATCTTATTTATAAGAATATATAATTTGACATCAATTTTATAATGTTTCATCAATAAGTAAAAATTCATAAATTAAAATTTTTTGCAAAAGAATTTACTAAAAATTTGTCTTAAATAATTATTAGATAATAATTCATTTAAATTTTTAATAAATTGATTAATTAAAAATAATTATGGATAATTAACCCTTTTATTGTGTTCATAAAAAATTTTATAACTATATAAAAATTATAATTTTTTTGAAAATGATTATCAATATCATAAATTTAGCTTTTATACACCATAAAAGGATTAAAATTAAATATATTCTAATCATCTAATCAAGTTTTGGCAATTTTTACAGGATTATGAAAAAAAACAAGAACTAGAAGAAATAAAATAATTTTAGAAATAATATTTTTCCATTGATTAATAATTATGATTATAATTAACATATAGAAATATTCTAATAATAAATTAGAATAAATAATCAATACAATATTATAAAACATTCATTATAAATATAAAATTTATAAATTCATATTAATTACATTTTAATAAATATAATCTCAGCTTTTTTCATTATCCTGTACTATGTATTTTTTAACAAAATAAATATCACAAATTATTATATTGGAATAATCAAAATGAAAAAATTTAACAAAAATTTGACGACCATGGCGCAATACAGTTTGCGAATATTCAACGATCGCATGATTTCCCTGATTTGTACAACAGCAATTCTATATGTACGATCTCACTGTCTGCATTATAGGTGCACCCACGTCGCCGTCATCCTGACCTGCCCGAGAAATCCTCATGAAAGACTGGGAACTCAGTACTCAGAATAGCATCGGTATTGTAGCCATTTCTTTTTTTATTTCCCCCCTCTCCATTTCTTTTTAAATAGCCTGCCATTGAGGCTATTAAGTTACAATCTGTTCTTTTTATTTTATCTATTTTTTTCTTTTTTCTTTTTCCACTTTATTTTTCCACCTATATTTTTTTTTCGAATTTTTGTTTTTTTAACTAAATAACCAAATTGAAGTTTTATGTTTAATAATTTGTTAACGAAAAAAATCAATTTAATTTGAATTTTTCGTTTATTAATTTGATATCTCACAAATTAAATTTTTTTAATTATTTTTTATTTTCTTTTTTTTTAAATTTTTTTTTTTTTTTTTTTTTGTTACTTTTAAGGAGTACTATTATGCTTTGTCACTTTCGAAATTTCATTGTATTCACGTAAATCGTTCTTCAAAGAAATATCGTAACGCGTTTTCATGATACCCTTGGCGGACGGTGAATTTCTTCTAGGAGGCTGGATGATTTTCTAAATGCAATTCGCACGAGGTAGGTCATCAAATTCATCTCTGATAGTTTCTTGAAAGCATAGAAATTTTTTAATTTTTTGCAAATTAATATCTAGGCAAGATATCTCATAGAATACAAAAGTAAATTTCCAAATATTGTAGATTAAATTTGTTTAATAACTCAGAAAAATAAGTAAAACACAAGTAAATTTAGTAATAATTATAAATTTTTTAAACAATTATATAAAATTGAAAATTAAATATAAATTTAAACAAATTTTAAGTAATGCAATTTCTGTTGTAATAAATATTTTTTTATTATTAATAATTATTAGTAAAAACAAATTTTTTCTACAATATCTCAAAAAGTCAATTTTGAAAGGATTAAATATAAAAATTACTGCAATTCTTATAATTTTTTCTAATAAGCATTAAATTATCATTTAAATAATTTAAATGACATAAATGAATATTAAAACATAATGATTACATTAATTTTATTAATGAAGAAAGATAAGTTAATTTTTTTTCAGTATATTAGATAAGATAATTATTTAAAAATGTTTTAATTTTCATATCATTATATTCACATCATATCTTGCAAATATAGTAACATATTTACAAGAACAAAAATTGCTAATTAAAATTATTTAACTTTTATTAATTTTTAATTTCATATCAAAAGTTTTCATTTGATAAGAAAGTAACCTGTTAATTTTATCGCTGATTAAATTTTCATTATCTGTACTTTAAAAAGTAATTTTCTATTTTAAAAAATCTATTATTTATTTTAATTATTCTAATAACTTCTACTATCTAACTAAATATCTATTCACTTTTATTAAGTCTACTATTACTATACTATTTATTACAACAACTTTATACATTAAATCGAAGTAAGAATTTAATTATTTAATCTATATATAAATATATATATAAATCTATTTTTCATTTCAATAACCTTAATGTAAAATATTTTATTCTATTTATTCTTTTTAAAGTTTTTCCTTTTATTCTTTTATATTTTATTTTTAAAATTAATTTTATCATCACATATATATCCAATATCCAATAATCTTGAATTTTTTTGAGATTATATGTTTCTGTTCTCTAAAATAAACCTTAAATTTAGATGCATTATATCTTTTTCACAAAAGAATAAAAGAGAAGAAAAAGAACATATACATTTATCATAACTGATAATAAAAAAGAATCTTCTTTTTATTCCAAAAAAAAAAAAATCTCGATTCTAAAATAAACGAACCTAACTTCTCAACACGCGCGTCAATTATCTTCTTCCGATTCTTCATCGTAATCGATTGGCGCGAAAACACACCGCACGAGGTCGAATCGTAAAACCTCGTATATACCTCTTCTGTCCTTTCCTAGAATCCCCCTTCCCATCAACTCTCTCCCTATTCCAACCTATCTATACCTCGTTCTCCGTTCCTCCTGGCGCGAGAGTGGCCGCAACCGCGAATTACTTCGCAATTTCCCGAAATTGCGCAATCCGTGCAGGCTAATGGCCACCGGGCCGTTGCTGGTCGGACGCATGGGTGGGGATACGTGCGAGTTGTGTAGACGGGCGGAGAGGGAGAACGCGTGGGAGAAGTGGGGATGATGGTTCGAAGGGATGGACCACGACGGTGGCCACGGGGGAGGCCGACCATTAATTAAGCAAAATCATAAACCCGAGTTGTGCACGGGAAAGCGCGCACGGTTATATTGAAAAATATAAACGAATCGAGAGGGAACCCTGTTACTTTCACGATACCGTCGGTGTTTAGCCTAGCCAATGCACTCGAACAACTGCGGTGCGATGCAGTTTGCGTCAGAGAGGGATTTTATCATTGGCACCATTGCCGCGCCGATTGCGGTTTTCGTTCTTTGTGCACGCATACAGGATGTACCAGAGTTATAGACATTGAAATTAAATTATGATAAAATGAAGATAATATTCAGAAATTTTTTGAAAATCTTTTATGTGCAAATTTTATTGCTGTAAAGTTGTGGATAGAAATAGAATTGAATTAGAGGTATTTAGATTTTTTTTTTTTTTGAAATTTCGAATATGTGTGTTCAAGAATTATAGAATTGGATTGAAAATAAAATTGATATGTTAAATTAATGAATCCGATGTAAAGAATAAATTTATATATGAATGATATTTAGATATGAAAAATAAAGACTTAGAAATAAATATTTAGTTAATATAAATTCTAATCTTAAAACTTCGAGAGTTTTTCTTTTTGAATTTTTAAAAATTTTAAAAACTTGAAGTTTTTTCAATTTATGAAATACTAAAATCATTGAGAATCAATTTCATGAAATGAAAATATCCCTTAAATTTATTAGTAGATAGTTTATATATTATAATGATATTATAATAAGTAAATAAATTGAATGATGTAGAGAAATACAATTGCTAGATAAAAGTTAAAGAATTTTCTTTATTGTTATATTTTCTAAATTAATTTTATAATGTAAACGATATTTTATTGGAATAAACTGATTACAGATCTTAATTTCTAAATTAAATATATTTTGTTAAAAATAAACGTGTATCTAGATAAATTAAAGTATGCATATACATGTACACCAATTTTCTCTTTCCTGTTTGTTGTTTTTTAATGACCAGGGCAAGTAATTATTGAACAGGCTAATTGCCCTATTTCTTATGATAACTTCATCGAACAGGATCATGCCCAATTACGATTCTTCGAACGTGTTACCGATATATATCGTTCGCCTGCTTCTCCGTGACATACCTCTAGAAAAAGTAAATCAAGAAAGATTGAGAAAGATGGAAGAGGAGATAGAAGAAAAAAAAAAAGATGGAAAGAAATTGAGAGTAAAAATAACCAGTCTGGACGGCTAAACATAGCGATTAGTTTGTGAAAAATCGACAATATATTCTCGACTAGCGGTGGCTGAGTTTCTTATGTAGTCTTTCCGATGCCAAGCATTAAAATAGTCGAAGGGAAGTCATGTTAACTGGAAAGTGGCATAGTTTGGCGTTATAAAATGTTGATCAGAATTTTTTAATAATGTTGATTGTTGGATTATTTATGTATCGAGATACATATATTGGATAATATGTCGTGTTTCATAGTAAATCGTATTTAATCTATCATATAGTATAATAACTATATTGTCATATCTAATATTTCATATTGGATAATATCTCTATTCAGATATTGTATAGATGTTATCGAAAAATTTTAATTAGGATATATTTATATATTCGCACGTTAGTTTCATGATATTTATATGATAATAAGATTTTAAATAACAGAATTTTTTCAATTAGATGATTCTTTTTATAAAATATAATTAGAGAAGACGATTTTAATATATTTTAATTTCAAATTTTTATTTATTCAATGATATGTATCGATGATTATTTAATGATAGCTATTTAGAATATTTATGCATTGATATGTTAATTTTTTAATATCAATTATATATCAATATCTTGAACAATTGAATAGGATGCTAATTAGAAAAAACGGTAATGATTATCATAAAAGGTATTGAATGTTAAGATTAAAATTAAAAAAATTGAGCAAATCTTAGTATTCAACTGTAAAACATATTATATTCACAAAAGTTTTCCAATAGTATCCAGGTTCTTTTATACAATTATTACACACAAATCTGAAAAAAACATCTATATATATCTACTAAAAAAATGTTCAAATCGTCGAACTCGTGGAAAAGGCAAAAGGGTAAGCAAGCGGCAGCGTCGAGCTAATAACAATTTATTTGCAATTCCCGGAGTTCCCCAGCTCGAGACGACAGCGGAGAGAGAAGAAAAGTGGAAAAAAGTAAGAGAAAGAAGGATAACGACAGAGAACCGTGGCTCGCGCGTGTGTCGCAATGTCCCTTAACGGCTGACGGCTGTTGGAGAACCGGTCGACCTCGATACACCTCGGCTTGCCTCTCCGCTAGGTACTACACTGGTTAATATACGTATTTTCGATAGAAGTACCACGTCCGGTTTCAATGTATACGAGCGATTATTTTTCCGGCTGGTAAGTTTGTGTAATACGTGCGTAATTAGATTCTTGCCAGTATCGTTTCTTTTTTTCGAACTTTCAATGATAGAATCGAGCCTGTTTGTGCTACGTTTTTAAAACATATTGTATGCTGATAGTATTCTGTAATTTGGAATAGAAATTGTACAGTGAATAAAATCTATTGACAATTAAGAATTAAAATTGAAGACTAAGAATTTGATAAAGTTTTAAGTTTGATAAAAGGTTAGTTTGATTAAAGGTTATTTTTGTTGATTTTATAATTTTTATACTATTTAAAAATTAATAGGTTCAAAATATAACAACAAGAATATGAAAAAAATACGTTTTGAAAGTTGAAAATTAAAAACTTGATTTAAAAAATATAAAAATCATAATTCCTTACCTTTCGGAATTCTAACTAGATTATTGTCGACTGTATCTGATTTGACCAGACCCGATTCAACCCGAACTAAGCCGAGTTGATCCGATTTAATCCGACTCAAACCGATCTGAAGACCCGAAATCATCCGAGTATCACAGGTTATCGAAAAATTTTTGCTTCGATTTAAATCTGAAATATTGAATATCATATCCATAAAGAAGATCAGCTCTTTTTCCGAAATATGTCATCAAAGAAATTGAATTTCTGGAAATTCTAAAATGGTTAATTTTTTCATATTAAAATTATGAACGAATTATAAATTTATTCATAAATAATAATGGAGCAATATACGAGATACGGAATAAACGATAGCAGATTAGATTATTAGATTAACAAATTAAAAAATAGGTTAGAAAATAAATTAATTTCGAATATCAGTTGAATTTATTTCAATTATTTATGAGACATATTAAAGTTATTGTATGCGTGAATGGAATTGAAAATCTTTAAATTATAAGATAAAAAATTATTAAATCATTTGATAAAAAATGAAAGATTGAAGAACATAAACAATAATGCACATGCAAAATTTTAACATTATATTTAAAAATAATAAACTATATCATAATTAAAAACTTAATACTTCTTATTACTATGTGAAAATTATTAAATTAATTTAAAGAGATATAATTAAGCTTATTGATGTCTTTATATGATATGAATCTGCTCCATATTACGCTATTATAATTAATCAATAATAATATAATACAAGCACCGTTTTGAATTCTATACATAACCAACAATTTTATTTTTATATGGATATCTTCAGATGTAATTGGATTGCTTTAAATTGTTCTATTAATTAACTATAACACTATTCTTTATTAATTATAACTATCTTATAAATATCTTACCATAATAAAGTGAATATACTTAAAATAAATGGTTTTATTGAAAATTTAATTAATATACATTGATATTAATATATTTAATCTGTAATAATTTAATTATCTGTAATAATTTCACAGAATCAAATTTAAATAATGTAAAATTTAAAATATTCCAATGAAAGAAAAAATTTTAAATAGATTATCGGACGTTAACGTTTTCATATTATGTAAAATTTTTGAAATAAAAAAATTTTTTTTAAAAAATAGATATTACAAAAATAGATACAAAAGAAAATTCTCAAATTTAAAAAAAAAAAATTAAATTTATAGTCGATTGAAATATTATTTTTAAAAATTATTTTTATAGTCGATTGAAATATCTAATTCACGAGAAGAAATTCAAGTATAATAAAAAAATAAATTACATTATACAATGTATACCATATAATAAATAATTCATATATTCATAGTATTTACGTGTAATGTACCAACAATATACAATAGTTAAAGTTTATTCTCTTTGTTCTCCGTTTTCCGCGGAAAATCGGCTTGAGTACGTGTACAATCAGTAACAGTGGCATTGTCCCACGTTTTTCTTGCGGTGCATGCAACGGTAGTGCCCCATAATGTCTTCTTATCGTATACGCCTATCGTTCGCGTTATTAAAAGGCGCGAGCGCAGAGTACGAAAAACAAGCGTGGCAATTGTAGTATACCGGTATTCCAGTTTCCCTGCTGCGGTTCAATCGCACTTTCTCACAGCGTGTGCGCAACGAACGACACGCTGAAAGATATTTTATAGACCTGCTGCGTACCAGAAGTTGGATTATCTATTTGATATCTGTGTTAAAGGGAAAATTGCACGGGTGATTGTAAAAAATAGATTATGATATATTATCGAAGTATATAATGAAAAAATTGGATATATATAATATAATAAAATAATATACGATTTAAATGAAGATTCTTCTTAAAAAAAATTTTAGACAGTATGTGTTACAATAAAAGAATATAATTTAAGAATAATAATGTTTTTTTTTAATTCCTTTTCTCTTTCACTATAGTAATAATAACAAATATTTAATTTTTTTATATATCCTATTTTTTTTAAATAAATACAATAATTGTAAGTGACTTATTTTTGATATCTTTTATGAATTTTCGATAATTTTTTAATATTAATTTAATTTCTAAATGGCAACAAATAATGAAAAAAATCATTTCAAGTAATATTATATTTATCGATATTCAGAATAAGTAAATTCCTTGGTTTTCTGTCGTCTTTAATTGGTTATAATTATCTTGACTCAAAATTATCGAAAGCAAAATGGTCAGGCATGGATCATTCTGTCGATAAATTAACAATTAACGATCCACAACTACCACCTGCGGCGGGTCGGAATTATAGTCGGGAATATCGGAGCTAGAATCGCGAATAGACTTAATACGGTATATTATAACAATCGTGTCGAATCGGACCGATTTAATGGCGGCGCGGCGCATGCCATGGAAATCAATTTTGCATGCGGAAACAGAAAGAAAGCGCATTCATAACCGTGATTGATTTCGCGATGCACGAAACAATTTTCAGATAACGTTCGGCGTAATCACTTTGAAATATTATATTCATTATGGATAATTATAATTGGGCACGTTCCACTGATGGATATTTATGCTTATCGCTGTTTGAACGTCCTCTATAAGCTTATGTGTTATCGCCAGGATGTATTACGAGTCATTGAATTTGAGGAAAAATACAGTTTTCGAGGCGAAAAAGGAAATTATTTAAGAAAAAAATAAAGAAAAAATTTATGCATCGTATAATTTATTGGATTATAATAATCTTTGAAATTTTGAGCAATTTATGGGAACAAAAACGAAATATAAATCGTACTTTCTAAAAATATTGTTGGAAAAATATAATTTTTTTTAATCGATATATTCCTTGATTGGAAGAATTTAAATTGAATAACATAATCATTCTAGAAATATCTTTAATGATCGTAAATTGAAAATTTAAAAATTAATAAAAATTATTTCAATTGAAAAATTTATTCAACGTTAGAACAATATTATTACGGAAAAAATAGTTCTTAAAAAAAAAATTAGATAGTAGACACAAATATAATAGAAGCTAAGTGTACATTTTGTAAAAAAGTTACATTCAAGATCTCTTATTAAAATTTTTTAAATTTTTTAAATCAATATCAAAATTTATCAAGAAATTGTTAATAGAAATATTATTTTATTCAATACAAATTTTCTAACCTAATTTCAACTATCCAATTTCTCACCTAACCTCTCCATCTTCCCATGCCATCCCGCGAATCGCGCTAATATCAAGCACCTCGATCACAGTCATTCGTCACTTGTTCCTCCATACCCATCATCGGATGGTGTGAATCGATAAAAAGCACGGAGCGGTGTACAAATAAGAGGAAGGAATCGCTATATGTCGCGAAGTATCGGCCAATGGTATAATTTTGTAATCAAACAACCTGGTGTACGGCTGTTTAAGGCTCGAAACAAGAGGTTGGACGATGGCCGACGTCGGCTGATTCTCGGCACACCAGAGACGGCTCCCTGGAAAATCCGGTCGAACCGGCCGAAGGCAAAGAAGGGACGTGTGCTGCGTGTCGGCGCATGATTCCTCCTCTGTCGAGATCAAAGACAGGCGAACAGCGGCAAAGAAAGCAATCGTTCGAAAAGAACGAACGATGGCTATAGAATGGAAGTCGATCTTCGTCCCTCGTGTTGGCTGAAATCACGCGAAGGTGTATACCGATGATCGTTAGTCCGATCGAGAACGACAAAAAGGGAAAGTCGTTTGTTTGCCGACTCTCTTAATGGCCGTCTTCGGCCGAGTTGGTAATTGGCGCGTCCGCACACGTTCCCCCTCTCAACGCCGTGAGCATCTTTCTTTCTTTCTCCCACTATGCATTTTCATACCGTGCGCACACCGATCACTTTCATCCCCTCTCTTTTCTCACGTGTTTCGTCGCTCGCCGCACTTGTCACACCCCGCTCCTTCCAAGTCGTTGCACCTACTCGAAGACCCTTTTTCCATCCTATAGCTCGCAGACTTTCGTGGCCGCATCGAACATTTGAAACGGCTAACGTTTGCCCAGTCACTTACTACTCATGAATACTTTAACGGAAACGGTCTGCGTCGCGAGTAAATCGTGGACCGTTCGTTCGTTTGAATTGCGACTCGCTTTGTCCTACGCCGACGTGGAAGCTGGAAAGAATCACTATCTTTTGACGAAAGAATGATGTATCTTTTTTTTGTTATTGTATAAAGTATATGATTTATATTGTATAGAGTATTGTTTCTCAACATTTTTCAAAGATACATTTTTCCATTATAATATTTTCTATAGTATTTTCTATATAAATAATGATTTTAATAATTAAATGGAAATGTTAAGAATTTTAATTTATTGAATCTCTTAAGGTATTATTCGCAGATTTATAGAGATCTTATTAAAAATATTGATTTTTCTATAATAATAAACAATGTATGTTAATATAGTAGAATAAAAATAGTAAAAGATTAATTTACACCATTATAATTCTATATAGATAATTCATTATTATCTATGTAGAACAAAAATAATAAAAGATTAATTTACACCATTATAATTCTATATAGATAATTCATTATTATCTATTCTGCAATTTTGTTCACTTATCATCTTTATGATAATTATTATTACTATATTTTATAATTATTTATTAATTAAAATTTATTTATTACTTAAAATTAATACTATATCTCAACTATATCTATATATCAATACTATATCTTAGATATAAAAATCCTTCCATAAAACGATATACCTAAAAAAAAATGTAAATACACTTTAGTTCTAAATGAAAACGCATATTTTATTTTGCATATAAATATACGTACACAGTGCACAAACCTCGGCGGTATTTCCACAACAGCCGCCGTTCTTCGAAATTCCTCATCAGTTTTCCTCCTCATCCCTCTTCTCAGCTACCGACTGTTCCGTCGAAAAGAAGCAACACGCGTTAATCCCCGACTTAGCGAAGGGACACACGTTCGTTACACGCGTGGTGCACACGCGTGCACGCTCGTAACTCGCGTTGACGCGTACTAACGGTTCGGCAAACGACGTGCAGGGGTTGCTGGCGAGTTCATGTGCGAGCGTCACCCATCCAACAGGGCGACATAACTTTCCAGGCGAGACACGATGTGGCCGCAACCCCAACGTAGTGGTATACAACTGTGAAATATACTCGATGAAATTAGCGAAGGATAGGAGTTAGAGTCGTGGACAACAATTTTTCCTTGCATTTGCTGTGTTTTATTTGCAGATGGAATTTCATTATAAACTGATAATATATTTATTTATTTTTTTACGAGACAGTGAAATTTTATATAATGATCTTATTCATATAAATATAATTTTTATATGATTTTTAGTAGTGAAAATAATTTCATTATTCAAAATGAAATAACTTCTTCGTTCTAATTCGAAATGGAATTTATTCATAAAGTGATTATCGGTCGTTAAAATATTTTTTTTTAATCACATGCAAAAGGAAATTTTATTGTAAAAGAATTAATATAAATATTCATTATCCCTTCGATAAATTTTTAAACATTTATATATTCTAATAAAATCAATTTGATACTAAGTTTAAAAGGAATTTATTGTATATTATTTATTATCTTATTATTATTAATAGGAACTTATAATATTTTAAAATGCTTTTACTTTAAACTAGTGAGTTGTAATTCTTATACTCTTTTTGCTATTATTTTACCTTTCTACGATCCAATTCCATCGATACTTTTGGAAGTATTAACTCAATATCAATTTGATATCAAGTTTGAAAGTAGAACTTTTAAAACAGTTTAAAGTACTTCAAACTAATATCACTTACAATTCTTACATACTTTTTTTCTGTTATTTTTCTTTGCAAAGATTTTAATAAAATTTCAATGAGTTTTACATATAAAATTCTAACTGTGTATGATTTTTTTGTCTATGATTTTATAATTATCAATGATAATTATGGAGATGAAATAGAATACAGATTTGATTTTTACTTTCTAATAATAACATAAAAAGCATTTTAGATAGAATGCATCAATAGAATAATTAATAAAAATTAAATTCATTTCATTTAAATAAAACAAAGAATTGGAGAAATATAATTAAGAGATATTTAATCATGAATTATCGTTCCCTTCGTTCTGAATTAATACATTCCATAGAGATTGTCTTTTTGCATATCCAGCATAATTATTCAGTTTTTATGGATGCACCGATGTGTTTTAAATAAAAGCATCGTTTCTCCGCGAAACAATCGAGGACGAGTGATTTTCCATATTCGACATTAGCTGGTTTACGGGCAGATTAATTACGTTTGAATAATGCATGCTGTGTTAATAAATCTCCGCAAATCGCCACCGAGAGAAATACAATCGAATTGTTCCACCAATCGTGCCTCTTTTTTTTTTCTTGCTACTTTGTTGTACGTGCGCGAAACGCAGATTTCAATTAAAAATAACAGAAATAAAATAACACAGTTTTTGTGAAAAATACATTTTGACAAAAAGTTCGTAAATAAATTGTAGATTTTATATCAGATTTACGAGTAAAATACAGTTTTCAATTAAATGTCTATAAACAGAATTTTGATAAACGCCAATTTCGATAAAAAAATTGATGATACGGACTCGAAAGAATTTTTTTACATAGGATACAGATTTCGATTAAAAAATTCGAACAAAAAAAAGAAAACAAATTTCAAAAATTAAAAATAGATTACTTACGAAATTATAAATACTATACACTTATATTAAAAACGTTTTTTCTCATTAAACAGGTTGAATAAACTTCGATCTCGACTACTTTAAACCGATTTAATATATTCGAATTTTATATCTGGCTCTATCCTTTTACGAACGTTGACACTTCCTTCGATGCCAAATTCGCTCTGCATTGCATACTAGTGGCTTAGTTTTGCGAATGATATCATCGACTGATTTATGGCACACTCTATAGTAACTTATATTAGTCTACTCTTAATTTTGAGAACGATATCATTTAATTATTTATAATAGTAATAAAATTTAATATTATTAGATTAATTTAATTAGATATTAATATATAATATATAGTTTATAATTACGAATAAAATATAAATACGTATAACAAAACTAAATAATAATTTAACACGACGTGACTCATGTTCACAACTAAATTGAATTATATAAAGCAAAAGAAAAAAGTACCTAGAAAAGTAGATACAAGTGCCATCTATTTAAAAAAGTAGAAATTTGCTTATAGTGATATATATTTTTATCCAATAGAAATTATCTAAAAATTTTTTTTATAATTTTCATGCAGAAAAAGTAATTAAAATATTTATGAATTATTTATATCATTTTTCATGATAAATTTTGCAGTTTAAAAGATAATTGCTATATAAATTGTTTTTTACTTGAAAAAATATTTAGACTATATATCACGTGATCTCAATTTCTAATGATGGCGTTGTTGTTATGTATTAACTATCACATAAAATTTTTTTTATATTACAATATTATTTTTTAAATCAGAATAAAAAAATTTCATATTTATATATAATTATAATATAAACAATCTATTACTATTACATTAAATATTTGTAAATTTCATATAATATAACAATAATATATATATTTATCGCTTGTATTTATATTTTTAATCTTATTGAATCAGTCACAGTACTTACAGAAAGATTAAAGAAATTCTTTTCTTTGTATTTTGATCACGATTCGATTTCTTGGTCACGCTCTACGAAATGGTTATTCGCATGGAGAATTGTCTCGTGTCTTCATTCGATTCGGAACATTTAGTAGACATTAAGGTGCGATCATATGAATATTTAATCGGTCTGGCATTTTAATTTATTCAAATTAAAAGTACCCGTGGCGAACATTTACCCATTTCGAGCTGAAACACAAGTCGTGTTCATGTTTGATATTTCGTTCTTGAATGGGAATGATCGTTGATATAGCTAGAACAAATATCGTTTCTAAATAAGTGTTCGAAAAATTTCCTATTCTGACAATTTGATTAAATAATTATTTAATTAGAAATTATTTAATAGAAATTATTTCTAAGAATCGAATAATTTGTTAAAAAATTTGTTAAAAAATTTATTACAATTAATTGAAAAATATTTATAAAAAATTGAATTTCATTATTTGAACGAGGTATCCTTGCAAAAAATTTATTTTATACCAGTATCGTGCCTAACTTCATGATTATTTGACAGTATCAAAGATGGCGGCGATACATAATGAAATACGTAATTGTATATTTTCGTGATTTAAAGTGTTTTGAGTGTTTTTTTCGATTGTTTTATGATGTATTGTTATCATCAAATAATTTCTTTATTACTGGAGCTACAGATACATTTTTTTAAAGACAATAATGTACAATGTCAGGTATGTAATTATTTGACGTTATAAATATAAAGAAGAGGTTAAACTCATCGTAATGGTGTAACTTTTAGACTTTTTACTTATGATTTTGAATATATAATTATATTTTATTTTAGAAAACTCAAATTTTAAATATTTTTCTCATTTTCTTTTGATTTAAGTATTTGAAAAACGAGATGAATAAAAACGAATAATATTATTCCTATTACGATCGATTTTGATAAAATATAAAGTACTTTTATCATTAACTATTCATTGATTTAATATGAACAGGACATTTTATCGATTGATTCGAAAAAAATAATCATACAATTACGTGCTCCACGCATCCGAACAAGTGCTATTAGCTATTTGCGGTTTAGTGGTTTCGTAATAGGCACGATATCCTTCTAGACAAGGATCCTTGCGTTCACTTCCTCATTATTGCGGTGAATCAACAGGTCACGTATCGTCGCGTCTCTATTATGAAGTAGTTTGCGTTCTTTTCCAATGCTCTTCCTTTATCATTTCCACGAAAAAAAATTATTATCTTTTATGTGTCGTTTTATTATTTCAATTATTTTCTAATTTAATCATTTAATTAAGATTTTCTGAATATTCTCTTAAATATCATGAAAAGGATGAAACAAAGATTTGAGTTTTTTTATTGAATTTTTTCTAAAAAATTATTCAATATTATTATTCGTATAAACTAAATGAAAAACTATTTATAATCAAAGAAGGAAAAAATTCAAACGAAAAGTAAAATAATGTGATTCGATCATTCTAATGTTATAAGGAACTAACCTCGCTGATTTCAGTAGAATTTACGCAAGCCTAGCTAGGCGAGAGAGTGATATTCCTGGCTTTTCGCGAGCGGCGCTCGACCGAGACGAATCACTTTCCGCGTATGAATCATCATTACGTTTCTACGAACACACGGTAAATTACAAATTGCATTTCCTCGCAGCGGACAGACTGAAAGCGACCGGCTACTCGAAATCTGGAGTGAACGTTGAGCCGTATAGGAAAAGAAAAAGGTCGAATTATCCTGTCGGAAGGACGCCGCAGGCTCGTCATTTCGCTCCGTGTACCATGTCCCTCTTCTTTTGCTCTCTTTTTTCATCCGTTCCTTTCTCTATCTCTTTCTCTCTTTCTTTCGCCACCTGTAAACTCGGTTTAATGAATCGTAACCACATTATCTCGCGTTGCGCAACCCGTAAGACCCCTTTGAATTACCATAATGTCTCCAAGGTGAAAACTTATCGTTTTGTGAATATTGAACATGTGAATATATATAAGATAAACTTATATGTAGAACCATTTGATGGAATCTGGTCAAAAGATTAAATCATGTTTTAATATAAATGCCTACATACGTATTTTTAAATAATATTAAAATACATTAAAATTATTCAAATTTTTTTCATAATTGACTTCATGCTCGACGTTTAAAAGTAAAACTATTTTTAGTCTCATTAAAGTTAATTTAAAAATAAAATATTTCTTTAAAAGAAAAAAAATATTTCTATAAAAATTCTCTTCATGTATGTTTTCTAAGAAGATAAATGTTCGTGATTAATATGCAATATAGTATTAAATTTTTAATTCTTAAAATAATTCACTTATAAAAAAATATCGATATTTAATTAAAAGAGTAATATCTCGTTCAAAAATATATGCGAATATATGTGAATATATGCGAATTATTTTTTTGTAAATTTTTTTGTCAAAAATGAATTCGATATCTCGGGAGACATTTTTCCTTGAACGATTACGTTTGACAATATAACGATGGTATAAATAAATATGAGGAATGTATCAAGACACGTTGAATCTCACAATTTCCGCGTTGCGCGTGAAATTTTTCGAAACGGATCGCGCGCGAACGTGAAACGGGATCCGACTGTAGCAATTCTAGATAAGCAATCACAGAATAATCGGGCTGGTTCGCGCTCTTACTTAATTACGTAACCAGATTAATTAGCGCAATTATAATTAGCGGGTACAAATTGCAAGCGAGAGTGTCGCTCGATTAAAATGGACTGCGACGAATGAATCCATTCCGCTTCGTCTGCCTTTCGTCTCGACACCGACATCATTGCTTTATTTGATATATAAAGAAATTTTTTTTTTTTATAGTTCGATATAATAAAACTATTACAAACAATATATTAAATTTATTATATTAATTATTTTATTTTTATATTTTCTTTTCTTCAATTATCAAACTCATTACTTTTATAATATCAGCCAAATCGATTTTTCTCTATATATAAAAATATATATATTCTTTATATATAAAAATATACACTTTTCATTGATAACATATTATGCTATTAATCTAATTCATTTAATTCTTTTAATTGATATTATCGAATCAAATCTCGATTTATTTCGAGAAATTCTGCAAAAATTTCTTCTACGTACTATGTGGATGATTTCTCAGCCAGTTTGAAAGTTTCCTTTTTCTCCTGTGGAAAATACGAAAGGAAGAGTGCAACACTATTGCTCAGAGTGCGTCTTTAATGGGCACTCGTGGCACTCGCGATGAGGTGAGAGAAAGCGACAGGATGAGAGGAAGAAAAGGCCGAGAAAGGGGGGGCTGGAATATTAATAGAAGATTTCTGTCCTGACTAATTTACCGCTTCCGTTAGCCCGTCGCGGACTGCTTCTTTGACGTTGTCCGCGAGATCTTTGTGTTCATCGAGGATTTGGTCGATCCTCGAGGCAATCGCGAGAGAGACGAGATAGATGCGGAAATATTCATTCAAATTTCTTTCAATGTTTTTTTTTATTTTTTTTTATTTTTTTTTTTTATTTATTTTTTTTTTTTTATTAACTTAACTGACCAATTAAAATTCCATCAATACAAGTATTGATGTAGGACATGAATACATCAACATTTTATTTCTTTGAATGCAAGATATTTTAATGGATACTAATGAAGCTACTTACTTAGTATTTTGTATTTATAGACCTTTAATATTTCTATGATTTTATAACATTCTAAAATTTTTATTGAATTTTATTCGAATATATATTTCTTTTTATAAAAAAGAATGTATTAAATGAGAGAATATAGTAGAATTTCACTATTTGTTCTGAAAGATAAATTCATCGAAGTGCAATAATTCTTAGTTTTTTATAATTAAACATTGGATTTTTTTTTTTGTCATCGCTTTATGGTTTTTATCGCGAAATTGTAAATATCACTGATACGTGCTGAATGTTGTTCCGACAATGATGTTTGCATTTGCAACACGGATTGTTTTATTATCGCTTTCGAATAAAAGAAATCGTGACGCGTTGGAATTCACGTGCATTCGCGTTTTTAGCTACCAAAGATTAATAGGTATTCCGCCAATCAATTCTCTGATAACGAAACTCACTGAATTTACAGGGTGATACAAAAATATTGGATTCTAATTAAATTTTACTTAACATCGAATTATTATTTCTTATTATTATTTATTATTTCTTATTAGACATTTTTCACGATAATAAATAAATTTTACTACGCTAATTTTTTAATAAAATAATTTTTTAATAATCAGTTTTTTTTTTTCTTCTATAACATCAAACGTTTCGCTTCACAACTAACATACATTCACTTTGACTTCATTGAAGTCCATTATCGGGTGGTTGGAGCTCCGTAGCGAGAGAGAAGATTCACGAGCGAAAAACGAATCACGTCATCCCGCGTAAT